CGTACGCACAATTTAAGAACAAATCTGTGCGTACGAACGGTTCTTGCATGAGGCCCAATGTTCAAACATAAAATTGTTTAAAAGAAAGTATAAATACATTATTTTCATGGACTATGAAGATATGTAAAAATATGAAAATAACTTATTATATGAAATCATATTTAAACATTCCAAATATGTCTATAATTTCACTAGTGTTTGTGTTGACGGGGAGGTAGATTGGTGAAGATTGATAGCTAATGTTGAATGGGTAGGATTAATTAAGTTTGTACTTCTTCCCACTTATTTTCGACATGGGAGTTATCTTAGAAAAAAAATGTAGATACTTGTACACTTTTTATTTTAATTTCATTAAAATAAGAAAAGAAATACATTTTTCTTTCACTTTATACAGACAATCATTTTAAGCCTTTGCTTAAAATGATTTTCTGTATATTGTTAACATGTTTGTAATAAAACAAACAAACAAATGGTTTTGAGCTTTTGATTGTTTTTTAAGCTCATGCCACATTTAAGTTTATATTAAATGTTTTTATGGCCCCTAGAAATTAAATGTCTGATAATGCAAAACATGAAGTTCTGCATAAAAGTGTTTTGCTTTTTTTTCTGCTTTAATCACTTGATGTTAAAGAGCATCTTTGCCATTGAATTAGTTTGTCCTTGCATGCACATGATGAATGCCTGTTACCTAGATTTTAGATTTTAAATAAAAGTTTAACATACTTTTCATATTTTTTCTTTATCACTACACCTTTAGCTTCTTTTTATCGTCACATCTCTGTGACGAATGATGAAGTTGCAGCCTTGCTGGGTGGAGTCAGACTGGAGATGGTATGTGATGACATCACTAAAGCACAAACTGATGTTATCGTCAACACAACTGGCTTCCAAACCCAAAATTCTGGTATGATCTAAATGATTTTATTGCAAAGATTTTTGGAAATAGTGTCTTTATAGTGTTTTACTTTTGAGTATTACTGTTATAAACTCAACAGGTGTCTCCCAAGC